CCAAACAGCGGCAGTGCTCCAAACACTGAAGTGGCAGCTCCAAACACGGCAGCAGCTCCAAACACGGAAACAAAAACAGTGCTTGGAGCTGCCACCGTGTTTGGAGCTGCTGCTTCCGCGTTTGGAGCACTGCTGCTGTTTGGAGCACCACCGCCATTTGCAGAACCACCGCCACTCCAAATACGGCGGCAGCTCCAAACGTGGAAGCGGCAGTTCCAAACACGGAAACAAAAACAGTGTTTGGAGCTGTCGCCGTGTTTGGAACTGCCGTTTCCGCCTTTGGAGCACTGCTGCTGTTTGGAGCACCACCGCCATTTGGACCGCTGCCGCCACTCCAAACACGGTAGCAGCTCCAAATGCGGAAGCGGCAGCTCCAAACACGGCGGCAGCTCCAAACACCGTTTTTGTTTCTGTGTTTGGAGCTGCCGCTTCCGCGTTTGGAGCACTGCCGCTGTTTGGAGCACCACGACCATTTGGAGCACCGCCACCAAACACGGCGGTAGCTCCAAACATGGAAGCAGCAGCTCCAAACATGGTGGCGGTGATCCAAACAGCGGCGGAACTCCAAATGGCGGCGGCAGCTCCAAACAGCAGCGGCAGCTCCAAACACGGAAGCGGCAGCTCCAAACCTGGCAGCGGAATGGGCAGAAGGGAAAGCAACAGCGGCAGGTGCCAAAGGTCTTGGGTCTGCAGCAAAGGTGTTTGGTGTGAGTAGGGAGCTCTCTGCACTTCGCCATGATCACCCGTTAGGAGCGGCTGGTGGCGAGGCTGCCCATAGGACGTTTTAGATGAGGATGAAAGGGGGGAAATTAAGTCACCCCCGAAAAGACGGCCTAGCTGTTTTTTCGGGGCTCAAAAAAATAAAATAATAAGGCCCGGCCTTATTTTATGAGAAACACGGTAGTACAATAAATTCAACTATCATTAATTGTGGTATCTGTTCTATCATCAACTATTTATAATATAACAAAATACTATGACATCATCATCTTTTGTCCTTATTTCTTTAACTGAAAAAGTCAAAACACTATATTATTCCATTTTATGTTTGAAAAAAAGGTGCTCTTCTATTACTGCATACAATAATAAACAAAGATATTTCCCATGGAATCAAATATTACAAGTATATTAAAATCAGACTCCAAAATAGATTATAGGTTTCTCTTTCTTAAAAATGATCATATACAGAAAATGACTCAAACTGTAGCACTATGTACAGGTAGTCCTCAACTTACAACAGTTTGTTTAGTGACAGTTTGAAGTTATAATAGCATTGAAAAAGTAATTTGCGATTTTTTTTCACGCTTAAGATCATTGCAGCATCCCCATAGTCACATGATCAAAATTCAGACACTTGGCAACTGACTCTTATTTATGACACTTGCAATGTCCTGGGGTCGTGTGTCACCTTTTGCCACCTTCTGACAAGCAAAGTCAATGGGGAAACCAAATTCACTTAACAACCGTGATACTAACTTAACAAAGTAAATCACTTAACAACAATGGCAAGAAAGGTTGTAAAATGGGGCAAACTTCACTTAACAATTGTCTCATTTAGCAACAGAAATTTTGGTGAGTTGAGGACTACCTGTACTACCTGTTCTTTGTGCTACAATTTTCTAAGATTTTTGCTACAGACTTAAGTTGCTTTCTGATAGTCCTTTTACAATCAGTTTATTTTCAGATGACTTTACTGTTCATTCACTTTTGCCCTTCAATAATTGAATTTGTAGAAAAACAAAATAACAACAGAAATTGCAACAGAATACCTTATATCACCAGGCTTGAGATTTTGGGCTTGAATTACGCCGCCTACAGTTAGACTTAAGCGTAGTACACAAAATTATCTGCTACAATGTCCTTCCTGTCAATGACTACTTCAGCTTCAATCACAACAATACAAGAGCACACAACAGAAACAAACTCAATGTAAACCGCTCCAAACTTGATTTCAGAAAGTATGACTTCAGCAACAGAGTGGTCAATGCCTGGAATGCACTACCTGACTCTGTTGTTACATCCTCTAACCCCCACTCTTTTAACCTCAAACTATCCACTATTGACCTCACCCCATTCCTCAGAGGTCTGTAAGGGGCAATTGACAAATCAAACAAATACATAAATAAATAAAACAATCAATGCACCCCAAATGACTATGCAAGGCATTTAAAGGTATGAATATTGAAGTTTCCACATGAGAAACTATTACAAATACCATGGATTTTAGAACAAAACAGTTACCTATATAAATAACCAGGGTAAGGAGATTGTAGTTGGCTTAAACTATATTATTTTTCTATAAACGTCTAACAGATAGACAGACAGACAGATAGATAGATGAAACTAAAAGTAGATCACTTTTCTCCAACCTGGTACCCTCCAAATGGGAAAGCATGATTCTCATCATCTGTATCAGCATAGCCATTGGTCACATTGTCTGGGGATAATGGAAGTTGCAGTACAATACCCCTCAAGGTCACCATTTTGGGGAAGATTGAAAAAGGTTGCAAATTCTTTCAGAAAGTGCACTCAATGATTAAAAATCAACAGATCCTAACTAGTCTTAAACTCTATTTAAAGAATAGAATTCAATCAGTAGCCCCATCAAATAGACTAAGTTAACTGCTGTTTCTTTCAGACATACTATAAATATTCAATACACAATTTTATAAAATCTATTTACACATAAGATAGATTCACTGTTACATCTAGAAAGCAAAGGCTCTTTCTAATCTCATTATGTTGATAGGTATAGAAATATTAATGTGTAAATAGAATATCTAAAATAAGTTGATATAGCATTCAGAATTTTTATTTAATAGGTTCCAAGTATGAAGATTTATTATGTTTATAAACTTGCAAAAATTCCTTGGAAAAGTTGTAATCTAGCTTCTTTCAAATTCTATAATACCTGTTATGCATAGGCATTTTTTAAAAATTAGTCACCATGTACATTTGAACCTCATATTATTACATATCAGACATATTACTCATCTAAAGAAACAGTATGATTAGAACCAGTGGGACTCCACCCATGAAAATTGCAAATAAATCTTCTCCTATGACTATCATATCAGCAGGAACATAGCATAAATCATACACATGAACAGACAGGAGTATTCTGTTACTGATGAATAGCCTTGTATTATTTCTAGACCATTTACAAAATCTAAAACTTACAAAAACTAAAACCATCATAGATGGGAATAAACAATTCATTCCTCTATTTTTTAAATTATATTCCAAGTCATATTTTCAAACCTATAAAAAATTAGGGCAGGAATTTCTGTCAGAAATTAAGCATCCGTGTGACTTGAGATATAATATATTTCAATGTAACCAAGGCTACAATCTTCAATGGAAATTAAGTTTTGTTGAATTCAATACATATGACTTACTTCTAACCAAGTAGGCAAAGTGTTTTTTCCTTGGAGTATAAAAGTTTCTGCCTTAGTGTATTCTTGTTCTCCGATGTTGTGCCATGCATAAAACATCCAGACACAAACTGACCAGTGTGACATATGCAATACGAGTAAGTCTTCAAATTATGACCACAATTGACCCCAAAATTTCTATTGCTGAGGTGTTTGTTTAGTGAATTTTGCCTCATTTTACTACCATTCTTGTCACCGTTGTTAAATTAATCACTGCAGTTGTTAAGTTAGCATCACAGTTGTTAAATGAATCTGGCTTCCCCACTGACTTTGTCAGAAAAGTCACACAAAAGATGATCACCTGACCCTGGAAAATTGCATCCCTCATAAATGAAGCATCTGAATTTCGATCATGTGACTATGGGGTTGCTGCAACAGTCATAAGTGAGAAAAACTGTCATGTCACTTTTTTCAGTGCTGTTGTTAATTCAAATGGTCACTAAATGAACTGTTAAGTCGAGGACTACCTGTATAATGCAATGAGACAAGTACAAATCTATACATTGGAGAAACAAAACAAACACTTCACAAACACATGGCACAACATAGGAGAACAAACTCATCAGGACAAGATTCAGCAGTCCATCTGCATTTGAAAGACAAAAGGTCATTCTTTTGAAGACAGCAAAATCCACATTCTGGATAGAGAGGGCCACTGGTGTGAAAGAGGGATAAAAGAGGCCATCTATGTTATAATTGAACAGCCCTCCCTCAACAGAGGGAGATGAATGCACAGCCACCAATCCCTTGACTACAATGCAGTCTTTTCAGCAGTTCCAAGAAGATTCCACACCATTTGGACTCTCATTCAGGTGACCCTGAGGGCACGGCTAAATTCCCAAGTGCCCTCAACAGATCTGAGAGAGTGATATTGACCAGATGACTGCAAAGGAATATGATCCTTCCAGCCCTTCCTGACCATCCTGTTATAACTAATCTTTCCATCCTTCCCATCATTCATTGATCTTATTGGACGAGAAGCAAATCATCTTCTTCCTCGGGAAAAAAACTGTCCAGTTGCCTTTTGAAAAACCACATTTGAGATAATCATGTCTTGGATGACTAAGAATCTCCACAGACATTTACGTATGTTGAATTTCTATTTTACATTTTAATATATTCTGTATACTCTTGAATTGTTTAAAGGGACTACATATTCTAAACTGTTCTAATTTCAAAATCAACTTTGATACCACATAGGATGCCTTAAGTGCAATATTTAGTAATGCTAAAAAATTATAGGTTGACTTAGGCACAACCACAAAATACACTCTTTTTGTTTTTCCTTTTAATGTTCCAGAAATCAATGCATATATGTGGCACCAGGCCCATCCACTCAAATACTTAAGTAACACACCTTTGCCTCTGGATATGGATGTTTGAATGCGTAGGAGGCAAATCTCAAACACAGATGGGTTAGGCTGGCAATATATTCTCTTAAACAAACTATTCCATGTATTTGCTCTAATGCTCAGATTATCCAAACACCTTTGCTTAAAATTCTCATTCAACCTACACAACTAATCTCAAATATAGTTGATTACATTCTCTGCCCCACTTCCTCACCTGACCACGTTGGGATGCTCAAATGTTTCCAGATGCTTCAAGACTGCCACCTCGCGTATAGTGGAAAGTGGCATCCCTTCCTCGCTGGTCTGCACCCGCACCCTCTTCAGAGCTACAAAGCGCCCTCCATTCTTCAAGTCTCGGGCCTTGAACACTTTCCCATAGGCTCCTTCACCAATTTCCGCCACACATTCATACTGCTGGTCAGCTAGGCTCATGTTGTCCTTATCCATGACTTCACGGCTTTCTTCACAAATTGTTGTCTGATGTTTCAACTGTTGAATCTGTGGACCTGGATTCCAGTTGCCAAAATGTGTTTTCTGCTACTTCAACAAGTATCCAGAACAATTACAGATGGGCCAGTCAATAGGATGTAACATTCAAGAACTGTAGTAATAAACCGTGGTTGCCCTATTGGTTAGCTGGTCAATGGTCTTTGGAATAAATTTCTGTGTAAACCCAATTCAATCTATAAAACCAAAGTGTGTGTGAGAGAGAGAAAGAGAGAGAGAAAGAGAGAGAATATATTATTTCTCCATCACAGAATATCTTTTCATTTATTATTTCAATTGTTCACTTACTTAATAAATAATATAACAGCATTAATTTCACTACTTAATATGCATTACTGGACTACATCCCCATTATTAGCATTAATATCCCATTCCCTATATTACTAATTTTGTCTCCCTTCAAAGATTGCTCATTTTATTTTCTCAACAAAACTGTCAAGTTGGTCTAAGAGACAATGGTTGGAATTACTGGTATCTACTACACCAAACCAAACATAGTTTTGGCCAGTTATGTGTACATTATCAAGTTGTAACCAGATACACACAATTAAACCAAACGAATTCCAATACAACAGAACTCTTATATTATCTTGTTCACTGAACAAGTCACAATCTATTGTGACATTGAACAGGTCACAATCTCCACATTCTAAACTCTGTAAGTCAAGACTATCAGTATTGAATTCAGTCTCAAAAATATACTAGTAATCTTTTAAAATTGAAGGTTTCTATTTCTACTATCTAAAATTTCCAAGCCATCTTCAAGGTCAGAGTATAATCCATTGAGATACCCTTCAGATTTATAGACTTCAACTTCTAAAATTTCTCAACAAAGAACTGCTTTTCTCAGAATTTTGCTATTGCTTAAAATTCTGGGAATCAAGTTCACATATCTAGAGGGAGTCCAAAGTGGGAGAAAATCAATAATATAAATGGAGAATTGCTATGGCCGGATAATCAAAGCTGCAGCCAGGCAAAATAGATAAGAAATGGACTTGAACAGAAATGGACTTGAATAAAGGCTAAAAAAATTTCAGCAGTTAGCAATGTGCAAGGCAAAGACAAGATGTAGATGAAATTCATTTTTCATTATTTCTAAAATTGATCATATTTGGGTTTAACAATGTTCTGATTATTTTATATGTCCAAAGAGGCATCTACTTTAGAAAAACAGAGACACAAATATCGATTCATCCAAAGGGTGATAGAAATCCCAAAATGTACATCTTAGGGCAAGGTAATAAGTTTTAATCTCACTAAGCACATTGATGTTGGAATGCTTTCTATGTGTAAGATGTGTCCCATGAAATTACCAGGCTTAAAAGTGCTTTCTTCAAATTTAGTCAGTACCAGTAAAATAGGTGAACAGAGTTGATTTTTAATCAAACCATAGACATTATAATTTATCAAATCCAAACCCCATAATATTTATAAGTCTAATCTTTTTCAAGATGGACATTTAAATTATCCAGTATGTGAAAAATTCACAAGACAATGTGGGAATGATTCAACAATGAAAAATCAATGCATGGTTGAGAGAAGTAAGCTTTATATCCATAGTTGTCATCTACAATCAGTGATAAATTATGACTGGCTACAGCAAATTCAACCTCCAAGTAATAAGGAGTGACAGGGGCTACAAAACCTGTCTATATACAAATCACCAACTTCTCTATATTATCCCTAATGAGCAACTAAAGCATCACCAAGAATCAAAAAACTCTTTTAATTTTGCTGTAAGTAAATGCCAAAAACCAGTAATTATGAAAATAAGATTATTTACTATAACTTCAAGATTATTACGGTAATTGCTAGTATAAAAATAGAAACAAATTCAGTAAAAAAACTACAGAAAAAAAATGGGTACATTCAGATAACAGTAAACCAGATTTTTTAAGCTACACATTTCTTGAAGAAAACACTATGCCTGCCTCAAACAAAGCATTAAATCAAACATATGCTTTAGCATGAACCAGGTTTATGTTTGATATGAGTGTTGTATAACTGAGTTTATTAATAACAGAACAATTGATTTTGTACTCCAAACTTTAGAGTTCTGCTTAGTTATCCGAAAGATATTTTTTATTACTGCACCTCTTTTTCTCATCCTCCTACTTAATTCTCTGCCACTGTGACTGTGTAAACCAGAAAGTTATTTGCTGTAGACTAAGTACATCTTATTAAAGCATTCATATTCTTTACAAAGTTTGTGCAGATGGTTAAAAAGTCCTCCCCATCTGAAAATACATTTCCTGAGATTACTGGTGAAGAAAATACATTTGAGCATGCATATGTATTCAAGGAGAAGACTGATTTCACAATAGCCACACAAGCTTTTTAAAGGGCATGGATGCTATAATGCCTTAAGAAAGATGCTCTATTTGTGCTAACTTACTACCAATTTTTCATAAAGCTCTACTGTCTGTACCTGTGAATTAATCTCAGAATTTCTAACCAATGAAGATGACTAGCTGGGAAGACATCTCTTGTTCAATACACTATGTTAGGTTGGACAAGACTGGCCTTTTGGTGATTGCTATACTTTGGTTGTTTTTCTTAAAAGGTCTTTTCCCACTATATTGGGTTACTTATTTCCTAATTACCCCCAAAATCCTTATTGTTTCTTCTAGTTTTCCTTTTAAAACCTTATGTCACTTTCCATGCCTTTCACAGCTTTCTACTTCTTCCATTGAATTTTCCCTCCCGTCCATATTTTTCCCTATGCTTTCGTTCCCTTTTCAACATTTTCACCTTTTCTAATATTTTATTCAAGAATTATGAAGTTCTCATTTCCCCTCCCCTCCCCCCAGGCTTTATGTACACTGCAATATGAGTTTTTATTCTGCATACTTAACCTCCTGTTTGTCGGAACTCCATTAGTGACAATTTCTTGAGCAGTTGAAAAGTATGAATACTGTTCTCTAAATGACTACTCAAATCTACTAAGTGGAAGAACAGAGATTATTTACTGATAAGTATAGAAATGTGGTAGAAGAATCCATGAGATCACTACTTATGATTTCTACAATATATAGGAAAACAATATATTGCATGAAAGCTAATAAATTTAGTATGACATATGACAAACTTAATCAACATATGCTACCTTTTCCCAATCAATGTCCTAAAAGCATTTCTGAAAGCATGCATATTTGCATTATTTATTTAAAAAGATCCCAGATAGCTAAGACATTTGTTTTCTTAAGAAAACTCTTTAATTTTTAAATAAATAGCTTACAGATAATTCTTCAAAAGGAAAAAAGAGCTTACCTTCTTTTTATACCAACCTATATCATTTTTATCTTCTACCAGAATTACTGATTCATATAATTATCACTTAGCTAAGTAGTATTAAGGGCCCTTGTTAAAGTTGATAATTACATTTCTCAGAACTATGTTTTGAAGGATGTTTGAAAATATTAGTGTTAAATACGCTAAGAATTGTACAAATACTGACTTCCGGTTTGAGCTTCTTCAGCGACAGACCAAAACCTCATCTCTGCGAGGCTTCGATCCGTGCTCGCCGCTGGAGCGCCCGGAGCCGGTTTTGGGGCTAAGCCACCCCGTAGAGGTGGTGAAGAGGGGGAAGACTGCCAGCAGGGTTGAGGAGAGCCGCATCTCTCCTCCCCAGCTGGCCATTACTCCCTTTTCTGAAGGCGGTTGCAGCGGTGGTCAGAAATGGCCACCAGAAAGAAGAACTCAACCGGAAAAGAATGTGCAGGAGGAAGAAAAGAAGAGAAAGTTTTGGTTGACTGGGTCAAACAGCAAAAGCAACAAATAAGGTAGAATTGAAACTGTTTAAAAAACAATAACATTGTTCCCTAAGAAGATTTTTAAGCTGCGAAGGAGAGAGAAAAGGGAAAAGATTTGGTTTTCTCCTTTTCCTATACTGACAGCTAAGAGACTTAAGCAAGAAATTGGAAAAAAATCCACTTTGACATCAATAGGCATTTAATGCTGAAAATAAAAAGTCAAAGGGATAATAAAGATTTCTGGATAATTAAAAGATTTTGAAAAGGAGAGAGGAAGAATAAAAGGGCAGGATCTGGAAGGGAGACTGCCTGGAATTAAAAAAAAACTTACAGAAAAATCTCAACAAGACTTCCAAAAGATACATTCTTACTGAAATATCGCAACAAAAACCCCAGGAAGAAAAAGTCGAAAAAGAAATAAAAAGATATAACTCGGGACTATCTGGATTACTTGATGATTTCTGGATTCTTGGTTATTGTTTTGAATGACTAAAATCAATCGGGTGGTTGTTTAAAACTTTTTAAAATGGCTCCACTTTTAGAAGAACTGAAAATGGAACTTAAAAAGTACAAAGAAGATGCACAAGAAGGGAGAGGTTCTTTTGGCTTCGTAGTTCAGTTTTTAGAAATGGAGATTTGGAACTATGAGAAACAAGAAATGCCTGCAGAACAAGAAGATTGCGACAAAGAAGAAGCCATCTTTAATGAACAAGTAATCTTAGACTGGTGGGGGGGGGGGAAGGAAAGGGGAGAAAGAGAATGGAAAGTTTAAGATTGGGAAAAACAACTCCAAAAAAAAAATAGAGTGAAAAATAAGTATAAAATCAGAAAGCAACAGAAGAGGGAAATGCAGAAGAGAGAATTAGAACTAGAGAGACAAGGGGGTAAAAAGGGGAGGGAGAAGATGAGAGGGAAGAAAGAAAGGAAAAGAAGTTATAAAGGACAGAAACAAAATATAGAGAAACAGGGCCTATTTAGAGATAATGGGTGAAAACTTAATGGAAAAAGGGATTCTGCAAAGGTACATAAGATAGTATTGTTATATTAGAAATAGAAATAATTTTAGAAAATATGAAACAATGTATGATTAAAATGTCTGATAAAATAGCTATTGTAATTCAGTGGAATGCTTGTCAATAAATAAATGTAACAAAAGGTATATTTAATGATTTATAAAACATATGTGAAGAGAAATAAGGGAAAATTAATTATGGAGATTACATGTGTTTTTAAGGAAGTATGATATTTAATTAAAAAGAAGTGTTAAACATGTTACAGTTTTAATGATTATTAATGATAGAACTGAACTGGAATGGAATGAGGGTTTATAATTACATATATTTACAATCTTTCTTTTTTAAAAAAGAATATAGTGTGTATTATAAGAATGTACCAAGCAGAATTCGATTGGAAGTTATGTATTATGTATTATATTGAAGGTCATAACCTTAAGGTATACATTGAAGTTTAAATAAGAGTTGAATGGATGTAATTAAAAGATATAAAGGTGTCAAACTCCAATTAGTAACTACAGGAGAAAATTTGTTTAATGAGAAAAGATAATATGAAATTGAAACAGAACAGACAAAAGTATAAATATAATGATTTGAATTGAGATGAGATAATCAAAATAAAATTGAGAAAATTAAGAGGGGAAAAACTATATAGAAAATGTAAAATAGTATAAGATATGGAATAGAATACAAAAAGGAGCATGAAATTGAGTTTTGTGTCTGTATAAAGAAGTTCAACCCGGGACCATGCTATTTTCAAAAAAGATGTTTTACTTGTATTTTGTGTGTGAAAACCCAAATAAAACTTTATTTTAAAAAAAAGAAGAATTGTACAAATACTGTTTTGAAATTGTGACTTCCAGGTCTGTTGGGCTACAATTCCCTTGATCCATGACAATTTGCCTACAGTCTTCTTTTTAAACATATTACAAAACATTATGAAAGATTTTATATTTTCAGAATATCATTTTAATATGAAGGTGATCTTTGGAGAAGAAAAATAATTTCAAAACAACATCTTTTAAATAAATATTAGAAATAAGCAAGCATGAAGTAAATTTAAGATAGGAAATTTTACCTCAGAAATACACAGCATTCTTATATCTAGTAGCAACAGAAGAAAGAAGCAGCAATCCAAAAACAATAATGAACAGGTAATGTCACACAAAATGAGCAAAGCTCCATCTTGCATGATTCCCATATTTGCAGAATTTTCTAAGTTTTTTGTTTCTTGCTTATAAAATGGCAAGAAATCTTACCACTTTCAGCAGTACTACCAAAAAAACAGGTTTCCCTTTTGTATTTACTGGCAAAAAATCAATAGTCTTAAGCAGGTAAAAGATAAAGGTTTCCTCCTGTAGTCTAGGGGGCAGTGGTCCATTTCTTATCTGAGGAAACCAGTGTTGCCCAAAGACATTTATGTGGTGATACGGCCAGCATGACGATATGCCGAGGTGCACAGAATACTGTTACCACCCCGCCAAAGTGGTTCCTATTTTTCTACTTGCAAATTTACATGCTTTTGAACTGCTAGGTTGGCAGAAGCTGGGACAAGTAACGGAAGCTCACTCTGTTACGCGGCACAAAGGATTTGAACTGCTGAACTTTCTGATCGACAAGGTCAGTATCTTAGCCACTGAGCCACTGCATCCCTTGAGGAATACCTTAAGCACTGTTAAAATGATAAGAAGTGCACTCAAGAAAAAATAAATAAACCATGAGCATAATAGTTGCCCCTTGGCAATTCACACATTTTCAGCTTGTAGTCACTTTGATTTGTGGTAAGGATAACTATTATCTCCAGAAACAAAACTACATCATGTCTTTGCACTATTTTATGGTATGATAAGGCCAGTAATCTCAACGTCTGATAGTGTTATGCCCAATGTTGCAACAATTCATTGACAAGAAAGACAATGACTTGAGTAATACATGAAAAGGCAGATAAAAGGCAACTATCATTTTTTTTCTGCTCATACACTAAAAGAAAATATGAATAAAAAACTAATTAAGAAACCTGGTTACAACTAAAATATCTGCAAATGTTTCCGAAGATATTTACTGTAACGTTAGCCATAGTGTTTCATAAATTAACCCCTTTTATATGGGTTGATATAATAAGCTTTATCTGGGGCTGCCCTGTCAGTTGCACAAACCATAAGTGGTATCAATTTGTTTCTGGACATAACTCAAGATGCTGCTCTGTACCTACACATTCCTAAATAAGTTGGGGCCATTATCTGAAGGATCATCTCCCTCAAAGTGAACCTGCTTAGAGATCAGTTTCAAGAAGTTCTATATTTCCTACCACTAGAAAGTTCACATTGAGAGAAACATAATATAGGGACTTTCTGCAGCAGCAATTATAAACCTACATTTTTTTCTTTCCTAGGTAAGAATAGCCTGTTCTTCATTTACTTTTGGGAAGGTTATTTAAAAATATTTTGCTTCAGTGGTCTTTCAAATGATTTAAAATGTCTTAAATTTGCTATCTTTAATACTTTAGAATGGGCAAATTGTTGGGTTTAAGGGAAAGTTCCCAAATAAGGAACTCAGATATAATTTTATAAACACCTTCCTTGCCATTGCCAGCAAAGTGTCTGAGTGTTTAGTGCCTGAAGATTTTGAGTTTCAATTAAGATGCTTTCCCTCAACAAAGTTGTTAAGAAAAAGTAACATTCTTTCAGCTACAGCATTCTTAATTATGTATAATATCCATAAATATACTAAATCAAAGGATATATGAAATTTGAGAACCACTAACCGAAGTGGAATTGGGAAGAAATAAAGGCCATATCTGTCCAAACTAGCCATTTTCTCTGCACCAGATATAAACATTCAGAATTTTCACAAATTTCTAACCTTGGCTTGTTAACAAATAAGGATTTGTCTTAAACCAATTCTCAATTTACATACAATAAAACAAATCTAGAGTTACACTGTATGCTGGTTTCTATTTTTGCCTGTTACACCAGAAGAACATGAAAGATGGCATCCAAGCGTGCTTTCCTAAAAGGTAACGGGGCAAGAAACTCCAGCTGCCTTTTGGAAAAGCACCTCTGGGCAACCATGACCTGGAGGATTAAGAATCTCCATAGACATGAAAGAGAGCAGCATTTGAATCCCTCACTTTACAGAAAATCCATCCAACTTCCATCACATTTCAGTTCAGTCACTTCACCTTTTCCAAAAATACTGCATTACAGGATCCATCATTTCCAGCCAACACATGTAAAAGTACAGATAAAAGGCAACTTTATCATTTTGTATGAACAGCATTTCACTTCTTAGAGTCAACCAGACAACGATGGGTTGGATTTTTTTTAAAAAAAGTTTACATGAAGAGATCAAGAAGGCAAATAAGTGTAATTATTCCTTCCTCAGCTTCAACGCAACAAAAAATAGATCATCCTACAACTGATAATTTACTTCAAAATCCTGAAATAATAGCTAACTATGCAATAAATGTGATATTTACTTTGCCTGTTTAATATTATGATTTATTTTAGCTATTTAAAACATAACTTTGAGATCCATTTATAATTTTCACAATTTCTCTTATTGAAAATTACCAATTCTGTCCTGGTACCAAGTAGGAGAAAACTAATCTACAAAGAGCAGCAGTGATTTTCAGTGGCTTTTAGCAGGCATTGTTGCCAGTCCTAACTGGACAAACCAGAAATTAAAGATGGGAAGTTTAGCATGCCTAAAGGAATTTAGAGTACAAATTCTGCAGGTTGTGCTGCTAAAACAGAGGGCCCCAAAGTGGAAACACAGCTCTGAAGTTCAAAGATAGTGGTGGCTCCTTTGGAATGAGGGGAGAGCACTGCTACATGCTAAAAAGCTGTTATCCTTTTGGCCATAACATAATACTTTATAAATACTTTATACTTTTATAAAATATATTTTGATCCCACCCTTCTCCCACCATAAAATTCAAAGTTGCTTCTGTAGGTGGTTCAGAAGATGTCTCCAAACCCAACTGACTAGCCTAATATAATTTCTTATAGGGCTACTATATTATTAAAATCTGCTTGAAAAGAAACTGATAATTTTACCACTGCCATCTGTTACAAATGAAACCACCCAAAGTTAACTACAAGTTTCAACTGCAGGAAAAGAACATTCCAAGTACTCCCCACGACACAGACCCTTCCCTAAGGTAAAGGGTCAGTAGCCAATAGAAAATAAGAATGACCAACGAGACTGCGGAGGCGCCGAGTGCCCCCTTGATGGAAGTCGCCCCCAACTGTCCAGGCGGCCTCTGATGTGCGAGGTTGGAAGATGGGAAACTGGGACGGCTCCATGTGGGAGGTCGTCAAGGGGCGGGGGCTCAGGCAACACCGTTTTCGACTGTCGGAGGCGGCCACGCATGCAGCCCGGGGATGATTGTATGATGGGGGAACTCCATGCGGAGCGCTCGTGGCTGCTGGCGAGGGGCAATTATAGTTTCAATAAAATACACATCCTGGGGGGAAAAAACGGGGCGGGCTTGTCAAGGATTAGGGTTAAAATTCCCACTCCAAGAAATTACGTCCAACTGTTTGCCATGCATAAGTTACGTGAAGAAACCATGCATCAACTTGATGCACTTTACATGTGCTATTAGGCTGTCGGCAACAGCGCGGCTAGGACGGATGAACGAACCCCTTCCCTTTTCTCTTAATATCCTTCTGCAGCCTCCTGAAATAGAAAACAAATGAAGTAAGCGTTTTGCGCACCAACACTTCCCCACCGTTTCTTACTTTGGCCACGGCTCAGACGGCTGAAGCCTGTCCCATGAAAATCCCACGCGGACACGGAACGAGGTTCTCTGTAAAAGCTGCGCCGATCGCAGAAGGACCACCCCAAAGCGCTCCCCTATGCAGCATGCAAGTAACATGGAGAGAAGGAGGGGGGGGAATAGAACAATACTTTTCAGTCACTCTCCACCCCACTTTTTTTTTGTTGTTATCTCGAAAGCCCCATTCCAGCCACCCACCTCTGGAAATTAATGAAGCATTAAGCTACCGATCTGTTAAGAGCACATGGGCACTTTCAGAAGTACCTGGAATTGCTCAGGCGCAGCTTCGGCTCTTCTGAGGAAGTTACCACTTAAGTGGCCTCCAGCAAGACAGGAGTTAAAAATAGTTTTTTTTTTTTTAAAAAAAAGAGAGAGATGAAAAGCAAAGACCTGGTGAGGCAGGAAAAACAATGGAAAGCGTCTTTTCTAATATTCTTTTTTTAAAAAAATCCGCTTCCCGTGAAAACAAGGAGACACGCAGCAGAATCGATCCAAAGCGTTCACATGGTGACAGGGGAGGGTGCGCTTCCACGAGCGGAGCCCAGCAGCAGCGAGTGGGGCCACACAGGTAGTGGCAGCAGCAACTCCGAAGCTCTACCGCTGCCCCGCGTTTGCATCTTCCTGCCAGCCGGGAGGGCAGACTACACCTTAAAGCGCTGAAGATCCCCTCCCCCTCTTTGGGGAAAGAGTGAAAGAGGCACTGCTAAATTTTCTGGGGCTGATCAAAGCCTTGCAACGAACCGTTTCCCAAATGCAAAGCTCTGCGTTAACTCTGCACGCCGCCGCCGCCGCCTCTCCACGCAGTCCCAGTTTCTCTCTCTCTCCTCGGTTCCTGAGCTCGGTTTGAGACCAACAGCAGGAGCAAAAGAGTTTCCCCCCCACCTCGCCTCTACTTTTTTTTTCTCCCCTTGGTTTCCCACGCTGGCTGAATGTGATTTGACCCCGTTTCAAAAAAGTTTGACATAGTGCTTCAACATTTCCGCATTCCAGCCAGACTACAAAGGCAGCGGCCGCCTTCTTCTCTTTTCTGTCTCTGCTCTCTGTCTTCACACTCATGAAATCCTTCATGAGCTCTCTTCTCTGCCAAAAGCAGCCGCATACCGCAAGGGTACGAGCACAGCGCAAGGAACAGGCGCCCGGGGGCCGCAGGACAACGCAAGGGTGCTCGGCGAGGCGCGGGATGCTCCTCCCCAGCACGGGGAGGAGCATCCACAGCCAGCTGCATCACAGCGCTCTCCAGGGAGGCTTCCGTGCTCGGCGCTGTATAAATCTCAAGCAAAAGCTATAATGATGAGAGCGAACGTCTTGGTCACGACGCCTATGGATGAGAATAATATAGTCGCAGAACAGCTTTAATCCGACTTTTCTGTGCAAATCTCACCCCGCGTTAGGCACGAGTATTTCCAGTCCTTCATCCGCATTAGATTTAAGAAGGATATTTAATTTGTTTCAACAAAACACATAACCTACCCCACAAATGAGCCTCCCGCGCTCTTTCATATTGCAGTTGAGATTGTCTAAATAAAATATTCACCATGCCGATTAGAGAAAAGCATCGATAAATATCAGCAAAGCTGCTAGGATGCAGAATGGAGGATAGAAGAAAACGTAGGAAACATTTAAAAAATAATGAACCTTTAAAAAAAAACATTCTTTATAATACTTAAAATGATACCATATAGCATTAAGCTATGCATAATGTAGTCTAGGATAAAATCTCTCCTAGACTATAACCTATAAATCCAACTGAAAATAATTCTACGATTGAAAACAGTGTAACTCTCAAGTTCCTACTGAGGTTAAAACCAAATTATATTTCCATACTTAGAATAAACCACATTCAAGAACTCTTCCCAAAGAGTATTTTTACAGTATTTTTTTTTCTGTTTCTATTCTGTTTTGTAATACTGTATAGGTTGGCCACCTTTTTAATCTGTTCTAGGAAAATTAATACAAGTAGGGGAACGGTATTATTAATACCATATTAGAGTGTAGCATAGAGTGTAGCATTTACTTTTTGTGAAATCATAGTTGATAGTATTAGATATTCACCCTTTGACCTGGTATCTCACCAGGTAGCATGTGTCTTGCATTGTTTAGCTTTCTCTTTTTTTCTGACATATATCATCATTTAATTTTCTCCACAATGGGTAATTTTCAAACTGAATGCTGTTTTAACCCAACTAGAATATGTTTTTTTTTAAAATTGTGTACTTTTAAAGCAAATGAAAATGTGTTTATGCAAGTGCATTCTTGCTCAACTTAAATCTTATTTAATAAACCTATTTAATAATATTTAATAAAATTCTACTTAATAATAGTAGTCAAAGATCTTTGTACCAAGCTATCAACAAAAAGAAATCCTATTGTAAGCATTGGAATGTCGGTTTTCCACACACAAATCTTTCCAACTTGCATTCCAGTGAGTATATTGTCATCTACTATGTGGCAATATATATCTATTTCCCATTAACTTCAGTCAGCTTTCCTATGCAGAAGATAAAAAGGTATTAAGGGATATATTTTCTGTTAAATCAATGTAATGCTGATTGAGCAAAACTCGTGAATGGAAACAAAAGTTGAGCATGTAGGAACTGCTGGGAAAAGCATTCCAGATTTAAGTGAAAAGTTTATGAGTGGTGATGGTATTTGATGCTCTCTGAACTTATTGATTATTTTCTTGAAGATGTTTCATTCCCAAACTGTAGCTATCCCACCATTAAGCAGACATTGCCAAACACGGACACAAGAATATTTGCACATATCTGATGACCTTGTTTTAGCCAACTGCAAAATGTTTCAGTACGATCGCGAAACAATGACTGTTGGTATTCTCCATCCCAGGACGCGTCAGCTAAGTATGATAAGCATACTTGCAAACTTACAAACTATCACATACTTTGTTCTTTGTTCTTTGTTTATGATTTCTTCCATATAAGGTAAAATTCTGCTACCTCCTTTGTGCTCCCCCGCCCGCTTGAAAGATAATAATAAAAGAGGTTTGTGCAAAGCAATCGGGGCCGCCGCCGGGACCATTCCATCTGCCCCGGGCGCGATGTGCTCCCTCCTTTGAAGCAATCGGATGTCTGGTGTCTGTTATTGGTATTCACCCTTGCGAGGGTCCCGCTAAACTTCTTCCCTGCGGGGAATTCCATAGGCAGCGGAAGGACGCCGACGGAACAGCGGATCGGTCGCTCGGCGCGACACCAAACTAGGTAACATCATAAGTGCTAGTAGGGAGTGGGGTTTGCTCTCAAGTGGTTTGCCTGTCAACGTTGGGGGAATTGGTCTTGGTGTTTCCTTGATTGAGTTGCTATTTACTGTTAGCTTGTTTGTCTGAGTTGGTATACTTTGATTGGGGTATTTTTTTTTTATTGTTGATTATTGTTTGCTTCTTGATTGCTTCCTAATGTTTATTATCTGGAGCACACCAGGAAGTTTATTGGGTAACTTAGTAGCAATAGAGGAACTATCATTAATAGATCCCAGTACTTTAAGATGAACGTCACCAGAGTTAATATCATACTGTAAGCATGAAGACGGTTCCTTTGTGGAATATACCGAGGAACTATAAAATAATTAGATTATGAAATAATAAATCAAGAATTCTTATTTCCATCATAGTAATGCATTCAAATGTAATACTGTGAAAATCTGTACAGAAACTGTAAGGAGCTGACAAATATCTAAAGATGATTCCCTTTGCAGCTAAATTCAGAAGTGATAGTGTTTTTCAACTGATTCTTAAAGTATCCATACGGAATGCATCCATACGGAATGCATTTGCTAGTTCTTTACTGCTTAGAAGTCAGGGTAGCACCTTCCTTGCCCAGAGGTCTATTTGTTAAATATAGACTGCACAATCCTGCATAATTATCAACGTAACAATTATTTGTTATACAAGCCATTATAGCTATGTTACCAAGGGACTGAGCCATAACAGCGTCATTCATATATATCATACTAAGCCAAACATATTATAGGTTTTGTGTGTGTGCGAACCCCACTCTTTGGGTCTCCCAGTAATTAGTTTCCTCTCTTAAGACTATAGTCCATGAAGCGGAAGCTGACCACAGATTGAGATGAAATACAACATCAAGAGGTGTGTTGTTGGGGTGGGGGGGGTTATTATTTTCCTAATTTGTTATTTTATTCTTTTTATTTCTTTTATATGGTTTTTATATCTGTGTAAGCTGCCTTGAGTTGCCATGTGCAAGTAGGCGGCAATATAAAATTTCTAAAATAAATAAAATCCAGGATTTTTTTTTTCTCATAGAAAAGTAGGGAGTATATTACTTTCACCAACAAATGGTACCTCAAGACTTAACAGAAAGCATTGGGGCTTTTCAAGGCCAAAACAAATACTGTAGTTTAACATTATCTGTAATAGAACATGGGACAGGAAGAAAGGGGGAAAAAGTGGTATGTCTTTTCCCTTTCAGCAGAATGATGTTACTCTACCCCAATTCAGAGGGACTGTTGCTTCTCTGTTCCCAAACATGAGCAAATAAGTAATGAGATTAGCATCTCTCTGAAAGCAATTCCTTTGATTGAGAGTTGTATTCCACAATGTCCAGAGGGTGCCAGATATAACTCTAGCAATGGGTTGAGGAGGTTGAACTAGTTATAGAAAATGATTTTGCATCATTTACTATGGAGAGTACTGATTGTGGGGAAAGGATTCCCATAAAAAAACTCCTGTTAACTCCTGCCTTCCATTTACCAAAATCAATTTTTCACCACACTAGAATTTCTCTTCCAGATATATTTTAGGTGTCTCCACAACAGAAACTCTTCCTCAGTTCATCTTCAAGTCTAACCCAAGGCAGCCCTTTTGATATCCTTCTCACAGACCACTGTTATAAAATGATTTCATCTAGGTGTTTTGACAGACAAGCTCCATAATCATCAGATCAGATATTTGCCTTAGCCTAATTCTAATCTTTTCCTTCTCAGACCATATGAATGACCATGAAGAGATCCACTGAAATGGGGAAGAAAGATACAAAATGCTTAAAATAAAAGATCCTGTAGTACAGATCTTTAGGCAGATGAACAAAATATTTATTGGTTTTAGTTTTTCTCTTGCCTCTTATTGCTATCCTCTGTGGCATAATATAGCATTACTACTATGATGGCTATAGCCAAGAAAGAAAAACTCAGTTCAGTTTCTTTCCACAGGATTTAAATATATGTGTGAGAGTAGAACTTGGAATAGTGCCCTCTCCAATAAACATTTTAATCTGTGGTAATCCAGTCTTTGAATGCTCTTAGCATAAAGTACTACTTTAACACCTGCCCCTTAGAACATGATAGCATTGTAGTTAACTGCTAAGTGGCAGGTGTTCTTGAGAAAACTGTTGTATTTTTCTTCTTGCAGTTAAAGAGAAACATGTTTAAAATTCCAATTTGCGAATGCAATAGGGCTTTATTATCATGCTCCCTTTGTTATCTCAAATTGTTTTAAAAATATATTTGATAGAACCTTAAACTGAGAGGATTTCACAAGGGAAAGTTGTTCAGAGAGAAAACAGACAAAGCAACAGATGTTCATTATGGTAGTTTCTCACAAAACAGATCTACAGAAAAATGTTGGATGTATTTAAAATGTGCCTGTTTACATTTATTAACTTTATTGCATGACTGTTACTTTACATATTACTACTACTGACAGACCTAGACACAAATACAAAAGAATAATTCTGCAATTATTACAATATAGCAATAATTACTATTAATAACAAATACTGATATATTTATAATTGCTCATAATCTAAACATTCTGGCTCTATGCTGAAAGAACATCAGGGCAGTAATTTCAATTCTTTTTTTCAACAGATGTTTTTGTGGAAAAGAGAAAATGTAACATGGGGATGGGGAAGACATTACCTAATTGTTATCTGTCTACCTGATATAATAGGTAGATTCCTAGATCTATGGATGAGGGAGAAAAATTGCATTGTCAGAATTTGATTGTGAAGTATGATATTTTATTTATTGTTTTTAAGTTCTCATCAAAAGAATATTGCTCACTATATAAAAGTACTGAGTAAAAGGAATGAAATACATACATTAATTAAAATTTAAATGCAATTGTTGATATCACAATAAACTTTTATTGTTG